CTTGGGAAGAACAGCCAGTGCCCTTAACCTCTGAGCCATCTCTCCAGCCAGAGGTGACTTCTTAGTCCACAGGAGGACATGCCTGACAGGTGAGCTGACAGTTGAAGAAGTAAGGAAGGAAGCCGGCTGTGAGAAGGGCCAGGCAGAGGGTACACTGGATCAGAGGGCAAGCAAACACCAGGAGGAAGTGTGAGGGCTAGTGGGGCAGAGGTAGGGTGCGGTCAGGGAGAGAAGGCAGGAAAACAGGGAGGGGAAGGCAGTGTCGAGAGAGAGCCTAGAAACTCAGGATTGGTCTAGACTGTCACAGAACACCTAGCATTTTTTTTATGGTGATATATTACTCACCCACTGTATACCTGGCTATGGCCCTGAAGGCCTTCGATGTACAAAAGCCATTTCACCCTCTCTCTAGACGTGTTTTACAGACAGAGTAGAGGAAGCTACAGACAGAAAGTACATAGGTGCTCAGTGCAGGGCTGCACTTGCCTAACCTGTAGGAAGGCCTGGGATCACCCCCAGCGTTAGGCACAGACACAGTGAGACACAGGCAGGGCGCAGTGCAGGCCTGTAATCCCAGTACCCAAGGAGAGGACGCAGGAGGATCTGGAGTTCAAGGTCATCTCTGGATATATAGTGAGTACGAGCCTGACATGTTAACTCACTCCTTTAATCCCTGTGCTCAGGAGGCAGAGGCAGGTGGATCTCTGGGAGTTTGAGGTCAGTCTGGTCTACACAGGGAAACTCTGTCTTAAGGAAGGAAGGAAGGAAGGAAGGAAGGAAGGAAGGAAGGAAGGAAGGAAGGAAGGGAGGGAAAGAATTTCCAGAGCAAGTTTCGGTTCCCCTCAGCGTCAATCTAACCCTATGAAAATAGACGTAGGCACCTGAATGATGAGAAACCTCTCTTCCACTCCCTAGAGTCATGGAAACCTAGTCCTCCATCCCTAATGACCCAAGACAGGAGCCTCATTCAATGGGAAGGGAGGGGACCCCCTGAAACTTGGTAGTGATCTTAACTCTCCTCCCTTTCCCCCCCTCTCTCTCTTCCCCTCGGTCTCTATCCCTCCTTTCTCTCCCACCCATCTGATTTTGGCTAATGAACGTTTATTAAATGACTAAGAGATTATTAAGTGAATAAGTGACTTGAGGGGCCCTGGACTTCAGAGGGGCAGCTGTGAAGGTGGGATCACACTTGTTGGATTGGGGGAAGGTTGAAAACTGGTAGGTTTGGGGAGGTAGTAAGGCATCAGTTGGCACACCTTGGGGGTCCTGATGGCAGGGGATAGGTCCTGTGCACAGGGTTGGGGGTGGGGACAGCGGGCCCCCAAGCTCTCCTCTTGTACACCCCATCCTAGCATGCCCATTAATGCCGTTAATTGCAGCAGCTCAGTCTGACCCGGGCTGATCCCAGGAGAGGAAAAATGAAGGAACTAGCAAAAATGACAGGGGAAAATTACCACAATTAGCAAGCAGCATTGTTCCTGCCTGTCACAGGGCTGCTAGGCGCTGGGTCTCCGGGGAGGGGGTCCCCATCGCCCCTTACATTTATTGTTCCTGGAGGTTTAGGCGGGGAATGGCAGCCAGGTGTGGACGCCCTCCACTCGGGAGGCCTGGGACAGGCTGGGACAGGCTGACTTGGGGGAGTCCTGAGGAACACAGGCGGTGTGTCCCTGCCTAGGAATAGCAGTGACCCCGTCTTTACTCCATGTTTTTCTCTATCATGCTGCCCAGATGCTTGGCATTCTAGGAGCTTAGGCTATTGCAGAAGACCCACTTAAAGAGGAAACTGAGACCAGGCGCAGTGGTACAGACCTGTAATCCCAGCACTCAGGGAGGCAGAGGCAGGTGGATCTCTGTGAGTTCAAGGTCAGCCTGGTCTGACTGGGAGTTCAGGATGGCCAGGGCTACAAAAAGAAACCCTGTCTCTAAATAAATAACTAACTAAAAGGAAACTGAAGCACAAAGAGGAGGAGGTGATTCCAGCTGGGCTTCGGCCTAACAAAGAGAAGGTCACTGACAGTATCCCCACAGTGATCCCTGGGGGAGGGGTACCGTCTTCTGCACCAGCACGGGACCCCAGTTCTCCTGACTAGGGAGGGAGGCCCTGTGCCATCCAGCCTATGACTTTGTGGCCATGTACATGTCTTCATCTCTTCAACATGTCTGCCAAAGTTACTGTCTTCTATATATGTCTCTGTGATGGTCCACTACACAAGTACATCAGCAGAAGATGTAACTCAGTGGAGAGCCCCTGCCTAGAATCCCCCAGTGAGGGGCTGGGGTGTGGCTCAATGGTAGAGCCCCTGCCTAGAATCCCCCAGTGAGGGGCTGGGTGTCTCAGTGGTAGAGCACCTGCCTAGAATCTCCCAGTGAGGGACTAGGATGCGGCTCAGTGGTAGAGCCCCTGCCTAGAATCCCCCAGTGAGGGGCTGGAGTGTGGCTCAGTGGTAGAGCCCCTGCCTAGAATCCCCCAGTGAGGGGCTGGGGTGTGGCTCAGTGGTAGAGCCCCTGCCTAGAATCCCCCAGTGAGGGACTGGGTGTGGCTCAGTGGTAGAGTAACTGACATGTGTAAGACTCTGGGTTCAATCCATAGCGCTGAAAAAAGAAAGTACAAACCCTGTGCTCCAGCCTAGTGTTGTATCCCTGTAAGTCTAGTTTTCAGGACGCTGTGGCAGAAAATAGTAAATTTGAGTAAAATTTGGGCTATTTTCTGAGCCTCTATCTCAAAGAAACTAAAGAAGTTTTTGTTTGTTGGGTTTTTTTTTTTGTTTTTTTTGTTTTTGTTTTTTGAGGCAGGGTTTCTCTGTGTAGCCTTGGCGGTTCTGGACTCACGGTATAGACGACAGAGATCCACCTGCCTCTGCCTCCCAGAGTGCTGGGATTAAAAGTGTGTGCTTACCATGCCTGGCTTTTCTTTTTAACTTTATTATTTGTTTATGTGTGTGAGCAGGACCCAGCATACATGTCCTCATAGAGGTCAGAGGACAGTTTGTGAGAATCATTCTCGTTCCATCACACAGTTCTGGGGAGCAAACTGAGACCCGCAAGCTTGATGGTTTGATGGTGGATGCCTTTACCCACTAAACCATCTCAACAATCTCAAAGGTCACTTGTTTGTTTGTTTATTTTCATGGGTGTGGCTGTTTTGCCACAGATGTGCAGTGCCCAAAGAGGCCAGAGAGGGCATCACATCCCTTCAGTCTTAGGGTTACAGATGGCTGCGAGCTGCCATAGAATTTAACCTGGGTCCTCTTCAAGAGTAGCTAGCACGCACTCCTAACCACTGAGCCAGCTCTGCACGCCTCCCCCAATCGTGTTTTTAGGCGGGGTCTCACTCTGAGCCCTGGCTTGTCCAGAACTTGCTGTATAGACAGGGCTATTTTAAATTATCCAAATCAGCACTATTTATGGCAGGGACAGACATCACGGCTATCGGGTCCCGGCCATCACATGGGCATTCCACAGCCAAGAGGCGGCCACCTCCAAGGTGCTCCCAACTGCAGACCTGCTCTTCGCTCCCATGGACTTGCCAGTTCCCAGCATTTCATAGACACGGGATAAAACTCACTGTGGCCTTTTGTGCCTGTCAGGTTTCATAATGCTGCGCCACACACCAAGGCCTCACACCTCTTCAGCGTTAGCTAATATTCTTCTGCCACTTTTGTTTTTCGAGACAGGGTTTCTCTGTGTAGCCTTGGCTGTCCTGGACTCCCTTTGTAGACCAGACTGGCTTCGAGCTAACAGAGATCTGCCTGCCTCTGCCTCCCTGGGTGCTGGGATCACAGGCGTGCACCACCGCGCTCAACTGGATCTACTTTTTTTAATCTTTTCCTTGGAGGAGTTTGGCTATGTGCACTGCTGTTCTTTTCATGTGCACACGGCACTCCTCACAACTCGTGTTTTCACTTCACTGGGTTGTGAAGGGATTTCCAGAGCCTCACATCATAGTTGTTATTGTTGTTGAAGAATTCCAAAACTGTTTTGTCCAGCTGCTATCCTAGTTTACATTCAAGCCTAGAACAAGAGTCCAATTTCTCTACCCACACTTATTTTTTTTTTGCTTATGTTTTTTGTTACTTTTTTTTTTTTTGCTTATGTTTTTTGTCACTTATTTTTTTTTTTTGCTTATGTTTTTTGCTACTTTTTTCAGTGTAGAGGATTGAACCCAGAATGTTAGACAAGCACTTTACCACAGGGTTGGGGATTCTCAGCAGGAGCTCTACCACTGAGCCACACCCCCAGCCCCTCACTGGAGATTCTAGGCAGGGGCTCTACCACTGAGCCACACCCCAGCCCCTCACTGGGGGATTCTAGGCTGGTGATCTTTCACTGAACCACAGCCCCAGTACCACACTGGAGATTTTTAGGTAGATGCTTTTTATATGTTGCCTGCCTTCTTTTTAGGTTTTTGTTTGTTTTGTTTTGTAGAATTCTTTATTTATTTTACATATATGAGTGCTTTGTCTGTAGGTCACTTGCACGCCAGCAGAGGGCATCAGATCCCAGTATAGATGGTTGGAAGCCACCGTGTGGTTGCTGGGAATTGAACTCAGGACCCCTGGATGAGCAGACAGTGCTCTTAACCTCTGAGCCGTCTCTCCAGCCCCCTCTTTTTAGTTTTTAGGTGGGATCTCATTATGTAGCTCAGGCAAGTCTTGAGTTGAGCTGTTGATTCTCCTGCCTCAGCAGTTCACCACAAAGGCTGACTTTGACCTTGACTTACTCTTCTGGACCCAGCAAAGGCTGCGCTGTTCTGGTCACGTCTGTGTCACCAGCAGCACTGTAAAGGGCCTGGGAACGGCAGTGTGGCAGTGCTCAAGGACCTCTTTTGGTGTGCAGATGAATGAGACAGTGAATAGAGCCCCTCTTCACTGATGTGTCACTGTCTTGGGTCTCTGCCGTCCTGGGAACTGTTTCTCCACGGTGGCTGTGAGCTTTAAGACTGACTGGGTCCCCGAAGGCAGACTGGGAGGCTTTGACTTTCCTGCTCCCTCTGTCTGCAGCCCCTGGCCGCCGAGGCCCTGTGGCTCTGGTCTCTGAAGTCTTCGAGCAACACCTTGGTGGACACATTCTACAGGTAAGGTCCCTTCCCAGCTGCTGTTCTGTGCTGCCATCTGGTGGTAGCATCTGGGAATAACACCTTTTTTCCTGCGTTTGGTCTCTGGGGGACGGGGGGGGGGGACTGAAGTCCCTTGTTTCTGTCCCTTCCTGGGGGGCCACGGAAGCTCCCCCCTCCAGACAGAGACCCAGATTCCAGAGGCTTGGGGAGCCCTTCCTACTTCCCCTCCATTTCTCTCAACTCTAGTCCCTGGATGGCTTTGTGTTCGCCTTGAACCAGGAAGGAAAGTTCCTCTACATCTCAGAGACAGTGTCCATCTACCTGGGACTGTCACAGGTAAGAGCCTGCAGTGGGCCGCCATCTTTACTGCCTGGCCTATGCCTGCCCTTCCCTCTGCTGCCATCACTAGCCTCAACCTGAAAACCAGACAGCCGTCCTAGCAACCCTGCAGAGCTCCCTGACTCATGCTGGAGGGACTCAGGCACCACCACAAGTTCAAAGCCAGCCAGGGCAACTTAGTAAGACCTGTCTCAAGGTCAAAACTCGGTCTGGAGATGTAATTTTGTGGTGGAATGCTTGCCTAGACTCCCCCAGCGAGGGGCTGAGCTCAGTGAGGCTGTGGCTCTCGAGTATGTCCCTTTGTGCATTCCCAAGGTCCTGGGGTTGAGCCCCGAGGCAGACTGCACCTGGTTGATAGGATGCTTGTCTGGCGTTCAGAGCCCTGGGTTGGGCTCCTTTCATAACCTGGGCATGGTGGCGAGCTAGCCTAGACAACATTAAAGTCCAGCATCCGGCAGGAGGGTCAGAAGTCAGGCCAGCCTAGGCTAATGAGACTGTCTCACAATAACACTCCCACTGTGCTCGGTGACGCACACCTGTGATCTGGGCACTCGAGGGGAGACAGAGGCAGGTGGATCTCTGTGAGTTTGAGGCCAGCGTGATCTTCAGAGTCCAGGACTAGCAAGACTACACAGAGAAGCCTTGTCTTGAAAGAAAGAAACAAACAAACAAATAACACTCCCCCAGAGGAGGGGACTTTGGACAAGGGTGTGTTGGTGAGATAAGGTGGTGTGGGGGTGGGGTGGGAGGCAAGGACTGCAGGGGGATGAGGGCTGGAGGGAGACAGGTCACCCAAGCAGATGGATGGACAGTGGAGGCAAGGCGGGCTTCTGAGTAAGAATTGCCGAGGTCAGATATGCAGCTATCCGGGGAGTTTTAAATGGGGCTTGAAGGTCAGAGGTTCACTGTGGAATCGGAGCCGCCTCCGTGGAGAAAAGCTGGAAGCTGCAGTGAGGGAGGCGGGGCCGTAAGATCCAGAGGCGGATCTCAGCTCTTTAAAGTGCTGACAGCTGCTGGGCTTGGTAGCATGCATGTGTGGTTTCCAGTACTCGGGAGTCTGGGGCCAGCCTGGGCTACCTAGCAAACCTCTGTGTGAAAAAGCAAGAAGGGCCGTGTGTAGCCACATAGGCCTTTCCCCCCAGAATTCCAGAGGTTCAGGCAGGTGGATCTCTAAGTTTGGGGACAAGCTGGCCTACTCTACATATAATAAATTCCAGGACAGCCAGAGCTACCCTGTCTCAGAACAAACAAAACCCTTCCCTCCCTAATTTTAAAAAAAAGCGGGAAACTTCGAAATTAAAACCCAAGGCTGGTGTGCAGGGCAGCCCGGGCGGAACCCCGCCGCAGCTACCGTGCTCACGCGCTCCTGCAATCCCCTCCATCACCGGCAGGTGGAGCTGACGGGCAGCAGCGTCTTCGACTACATCCACCCTGGGGACCATTCGGAGGTCCTAGAGCAACTCGGACTGCGGGCCGCGACCTCTGGGCCCCCCACGCCACCGTCTTTGTCTTCCTCTTCCTCCTCCTCGTCTTCCTCCTCGCTAGTGGACACCCCCGAGATTGGTAATTTCCAAGAATGCCCTTCTTGCCAATGAACGAAGCCTGGGGGTAGATCCTGGTGTCCGGGCGGAAACGTACTACAAAGCAACACTTTGTAAAAGGGATCAGGCGTACTTAAGGCCGAGCACGAGGCTGTCCAAACTTGCCTGGCTCCCCAAAATGGCCAAGATCTACCAAGAGCTGAGCTTCTGGATGGAGGTGGGGAGAAGGCTTCGAGTTTTTTTGGTTTTTGTTTGTTTGTTTGTTTTTGCAGTCTACTGTGCCTTTAAAAATTGTATTGGGTCCTTACCCCAAAGCCCAAGCAAGCACAGAGAGGTCAACTGCCCCGGTCACACAGCTATGCAAGCCCAGGATCTATGCCCCTGGCCACCCTGGTTTTAAGCGTGTGTGTTTAACTTTGAGAAGCCAGTTCCTTCCCTCCACCGTGTGGGTCCCAGGCACATGGTCAGGCCAGCACATTTACCCCCGGGCCAGCTTGCCAGCGAGCGCCTCGTTTCTTTGAGTGGAAAATTCCACTCTCATAACAGCTTGAAGGTGGTGTGGAAAGGCCATCACCTCCCCAAAAGCTCCCTTTAGCTTGGAAGTGTTGGGGTGACTGTTCTGTTTGCTTAACACCCCAAAATGAGCCATGCACAGCGTGAAGAGCACGGAGAGCTGTCTGTCACACGCTGCAGACTAACAGAGGCTCCTGTCACACTTGAGGGCCTGGAGAGAGACAGGAAGATGTGACCATTCTCTCAGGAAAAGGCTTCCTTTCTTTTTGGTTTTTCGAGGAGGGGTTTCTCTGTGTAGCCCTGGCTATCCCGGAACTCACTCTGTAGACCAGGCTGGTCTTGAACTCAGAGATCTACCTGCCTCTGCCTCCTGAGTGCTGGACTCCATCACTGCACAGCTTCCTCTCCCTTTTATACCTCTAGACTGTGACAGGGGACCTGGCTATAACCACAACAGCCCTAGCCCAACCTTCTGAGGTTCAGTCCCCAGGTGGGGACAACTGGCCGAAGAGAGCCCAGAGCAGGTGGCTTCTCTAGCCTGGGGGATAGGGCTGAGAGGTGGCTTTTTCTCAAGGCTCTATAGCTTGTCTGACCTTAGGCCTGGCTGCCCCTCGGTGGGAAGATTTTTTATCAGTGTGCCAGCGCAACCATTAGAGTGTCTAGAGGGGCCGCAGTGTGAGGCTGGTTCCGAGGTGACAGGACCCTGCAAACTCTACACCGGCTCCCTCCTGTTTGTCCCCAGAAGCCAGCCCCACCGAGACATCCCCTGCCTTCCGGGTCCAGGAGCGCTCCTTCTTTGTCCGCATGAAGTCCACCCTCACCAAGAGAGGTCTGAACGTCAAAGCTTCGGGGTACAAGGTGGGCACAAGAGCATGCTCTCCTATGTGCCAGCTGTGTCCCAGGTTACATGGTGAGGAGGCCTGAAACCGAAACACTGCAGGCCTCCTCCAGGCCAAGGGACGTGGGTATCAGGTAGAATTGGAGTAGAGTGCTGGCTTGGCTGTGGTCCTCCTGCCTCAGCAGTCCCTCCCGGTACCTCCCCAGTCACCCCCACCACTGCCGATCCTCCCTCACCATTCCCAGCTATGGCCGCTACCTCTAGCCTCACTTCATCCCTTCCAACGAGCATCTTCCACAGGTCATTCACGTGACAGGGCGCCTGAGGGCCCGAGCCCTGGGCCTTGTGGCCCTGGGCCACACACTGCCCCCAGCCCCGCTGGCTGAACTGCCTCTGCACGGACACATGATCGTCTTCCGCCTCAGCCTGGGCCTCACCATCCTAGCTTGTGAGAGCAGGTACCGGGGTAGGGATGGGTAGGAATGGGTAGGGATGGGTAGGGATGGGTAGGGATGGGTAGGGATGGGTAGGGATGGGAGGGAAAGCGGGTCCACTGCAGACTGGGGATGTGTGGGAATCGGTCAAGCGAGGCCTTCAGGGGAGGGGGGGGTTCCAGGAGGAGGGACACAAGAAGGGGTGCCTGGGAGAAGGGAGGGTGGGCTGGCTCTGCTGGCCAGGCTTGCCCATTTCTTTCTGGTTCCCAGCATGCATCCTTTCTTCGCCTATATTATTACTGTGCCCGTTTTACAGAGGGAAAAAGAACTTTATTTCAAGGGCGTGGACCCTGGGGAACTCTGCAGCCAGCTCTGCTGTCTTGAATCACCGCTGTCTTTAACACTGCCTCCCTTTTCTCCTGCCTCCTCCAGAGTTAGCGACCATATGGACATGGGACCTTCAGAACTGGTGGGACGCAGCTGCTACCAGTTTGTCCATGGACAGGACGCAACCAGGATCCGTCAAAGCCATCTGGACCGTGAGACACACTTCTGTACCCTCTCCCCCCCCACCACCACCACAAAGACCTCAATGCCTCTGTTGCCCTGTTTCCTGGGAAGTCCCACTTTAGGGCTAACCACAGTCTCTGCTTACACTGCAGCTGCTGGGGCTCTGTTGGGAACAGAAAAGCATCAAAGAGGCTGAGTGGGGGCTGGGGGGGGTAAGTGGGATATGAGGGGGTCTCTGATTACCTCTGTGCCTTTCTCTCTTTCTCGATTCTCCTCACTCTGGCCACCCCTGCCTGTCTCCTGACCGCCTTGACCTTCCTCCCCCCCCCCCCCCCACCCCTCTGGGTTCTCTGATCCCTGGGATGGACCAGTGCTGGACAAAGGTCAGGTGGTGACTGGTTACTACCGTTGGCTGCAGCGTGCGGGGGGCTTTGTGTGGCTGCAGTCTGTAGCCACCGTGGCCGGGAACGGGAAGAGCTCCGGGGAGCATCACGTGCTGTGGGTCAGCCATGTGCTCAGGTGAGTGGTGGCCGAGTGGCAGCAGCCACTTCCCCCATCCCAACCAGGGCCCTCAAGGGAGGGTTCTGAAGGGCATGGGAGCAAAGGCCTAGGTGTGGATGCGGAGGAGTCGGCACTGGGAGGCTGGGAGGGACCCTGCCGTTACTCAGGCTAGGCAAGGCTCGAGGCGCTCTGCCTGCGGCTGGAGGAGCGGGGCTGGCTCTAGGCAGAGAAGCCAGTGGCAGACTCGATGCAGGGAGAACCTGAGTGGCACAAGCCATGCACACGGCAGGCAGAGAGCACAGAGCTGATCAAGCCTCGGGCGTGCAGCCCGACCTGCCCAGTGAGAGTCTGGGGCTGAAGCAGAGCAGGGGGTGGGGGGTGTAAATGGCCACAGGACACTTTGTCTCGGGGTCACTGGGGAACTGCTGAAGGTCTATGTCTGGGGGGTCACGGGCAAGTCCGCACTTCTGGGGAAACGCTTCCTGCTAGCGGAGAGCTGACTGGGGATAAACAAGGACCGGACAACAAGAGGACGCTGGTGTGTGCTTTAAGAAATGCCAGAAGGGTGCCATCTGCCCCTTTCCTGAGCTAAGATTTGATTTGGGCCCTAGAAGGGAACGGGTAATTTAGAAGAAACTGAGAAAACCATGACACACATGCTTAGAGGAACCCAGGTAACATCAGGTGGCTGACAGTGGCCCAGGTTTGCCCAAGGAGGGAGAGCTCAGCTGAGAAGGGATTTTGGAGCTGGGCCTGGGCCTCCAACCCCAGCCAGCAGAAATCTACAGCTCAGACAAAAAGTTGCAAGTGCTCAGGGTAGCACCCACAAACCCCATCCCGGAAAATGTCTACACTCGCTGCTGACTCAAGACCCAAAGACCCGGTTTTCAGTCCCATCATCTTGTCCCCAGCCATGCCGAAGGGGGCCAAACACCCCTGGATGCGTTCCAGCTCCCAGCTGTGGTGTCTCAGGAGGACTCGCCCAGCCCGGGCCCAGAGCCCACAGGTGAGCTAAGCCAAGGAGGGCGGAGGGACCTCGGGGATTACCTGTTGTGGAAGGCACTCACCGTAACTGTTTACACTAGTGAAGTTAAATGTCCTGAGAGCTGAGGTGACGCAGTGGATAAACTGCTTGCCAGGACAGCTTGAGGACATGGGTTTGGGCCCTCATCAATAAAAGCCAGGTGTGGTTATCTGCAACCTCACTGCTGTGGAACAGGAGGCCTCCCGAGACCGAAGCTCAAGGCTGACTGAGAACCCGTCTCAGAGGTCTCCTTCCAGGCTGGTATGGTGCTGAAGGACTACAGTGCCAGCTACTGGGGAGGCTGAGGCAGAGAGATGCCAAGGTCAAGGTTAGCCAGGACAATTTAGCAAGACCACCTCTCAAAAAGTCAAAAGGTCTAGGGAGGTGATCTCGTGGACAGAGATCTTATGCTGTGTAGGCATAAGATCAGAGCTTGGGCTGGGTGGTGATGGCACACGCCTTTAATCCCAGTGTTCATGGGGCAGAGGCAGGCATATCTCTTTGTTCAAGCCTAGCCTGGCCTAGAGTGTTCCAGGACAGCCAGGGCTACACAGAGAAACCCTGTCTTGACAAAAAATAAAAACTAACCAAACAAAGGCCCCGAGTTTGGATCTCCAGCACCCATACAATATCTGGGTTCCCCAGTGCTGGAACGGGCAGAGACAGGTAGCTCTGAGGGGTCTGCTGATAAATCAGCCTAAACAGAGATATGTGAGAGCCAGGTTCAGGGATCGGCTCTCAAAAACAACAGTCCAGTGAGATGGCTCAGGTCAAAGTGCCTTGTCCTGTGAGCCTGATGAGCCGCCACTCCCCAGAATCCACAGGGGAAAGAAAGCCAATTCCCAAGTTGTCCTGTGACCCCATGCATGTCACTGCACTGTGCAGGCACATGCACACATACATAGAGCAGCTACAAATACAGCCAACGAGACGGCCTCATGACCCGAGTTTGATCCTCAGAACCCACACAAAGACGGAAACAGAAAACCAGCCCTGCAAAGCTCTCCTCTGACCTGATCCACACCTCTATGCCTCCTTGGTCCCGCACACAATAACAACAAAATTGATATCTGAGTGGCAAAGTGGCGAATCAGAGAAAGACTTGACAGAATAGGATATGCCCAACTTGCGTAAGAAGAGAGGAAAGGGAAGCTACTTAAGGGAGCAGCACAGAGAATGAGGGGAGGCAGTTTTACCAGAGACATTGAATAGAGAGCAAGCAAAATGAGAAGGAGCCAGAAGATTAGAAGAGAGTACTAGAGTTAGTTTGAGGCCAAGCAGAGCAATTCAGAGGCCGAGAGAAAAGCCAGACTGAGTAAGTCAACTGGAAGAGGAGTTTGAGCGGGAGCAGCTGAGTTGAACCAGCCAGCCACAGCTCAGAACAAGAAAGTAAGTCTCAGAGGCTGAAGGCATTCTAGGTCTGGGTTAGAATGTATGGTCATTAGAATCTTCCTGGACTAGGCCTAGGTTAATCAGGTGAATAAAAGTTACTTTTACAATAAGTAGTAAATAAGTGATAGAGGAAGATGACCAGTGTTGATTACTCAGCTCCATCCCCTCACCCCAAAACACAAAGAGTAGAATTCCTCAGTGAGGGGCTGGGGTGTAGCTCAGTGGTAGAGCCCCTGCCTAGAATCCTCCAGTGAAGGGCTGGGGTGTGGCTCAGTGCTAGAGCCCCTGCCTAGTATCCCCCAGTGACGGGCTGGGGTGTGGCTCAATGGTAGAGTTCAAGCCTAGAATCCGCCATGGGCAGAAGTTAGGGGCTGTGGGCATGCTCATCAGTAGAGGTCTGCAAAGAATAAAAATACAGTATCTTCTTCAGAGGAAGAGCCTGCAGTTGACCCAAAGCAGGCTGCCTCCGTGGACCAGGACAAAGACACTCAGACCCAAGGCAAACGCATCAAGGTGGAGCCCGGCCCAAAGGAGGCTAGAGCCGCAGAGGACAGTGGAGAGGAGGAGCTCTCAGACCCACCGGACCCACCTCGTAGAGGAGAATTCACCTCTGTTATCCGGGCAGGGGCCCTGAAGCACGATCCAGTACTACCATGGGGCCTGACAACTCCGGGGGAGCCCTCCCCCGCCCTCCTTCACGCAGGCTTCTTGCCTCCTGTGGTGCGGGGCCTGTGCACGCCGGGCGCCATCCGCTATGGGCCTGCAGAGCTGAGCCTGATGTATCCGCACCTGCACAGGCTAGGTCCAGGACCCACGTTCCCAGAGGCCTTCTACCCCACGCTGGGCCTGCCATATCCTGCGGCCTCGGGGACCAGGGTGCAGCGGAAGGGAGACTGAAGACAGTATAACACTGGGCCCTTGTTGAGAATTAAACACCACTCCCTGAGGGGCTCCGTCCCCAGGGACTCTGCCTCTGCCTTCCATGACTGCGTTTCCTTGTTCCTTCAAAATCTGTACTTCTTTGTGTGTGTGTGTTCTTGTGTGGCATGCTGTGGGGTTAGTGCTCTCCTTTCACCATGTGGGTCCCGAGGCTTAGACTCAAGGTCGGCAGGCTGGGGAGCAAAGGCCTCGCCCCTCTTCCACAGACCCCTCCACCTGCCTCCCCCCCATTGCTTGCCTCTTCACCCCTCCCAGCTTCCCTGCATAACAAGAGCTATCACTCGGAGTCTTGAACTGCTGACGGGTCAGGTTTTAATGTCCCAGTCCTCAGGCCAGGCCAGTCCCCATAGCCCTGCTGTTTACTCGGGTGGTGGCCGGCCTGCTTCGTCTGGGCCTTCTGTAGTGGCCGTCCCATCATCTTCAGGCACCAGTTCCATGTCCAGTTCCAACTGGCCCATGTAGAGGCCTACAGCACAAGCCCAGAGCAGACTGACAGCCAACACAGCCCCCATACCAGCGGCAGCACCCACAAGCGACAGTTGCATGGGTCCACGAAGCGCTGCCAGGCCCACCACATAGGAGGCTCCGCCCCACACCACGCACAGGCCACCCAGCAGGAAGAAGCCTGTGGAAGAAGGGGTAGCAGTCAACAGTTGCAGGGTCCAGGGTATCCCAAGGGGCTGCCGGGGTGATGGGTGGAGGCTGGGGCCAGGCGAGCACAGGGTTGGGCAAGGCTTCCAACACCAGCCAGTGAGAGGCTGGAGGATCACAAGCTGAAGGCCTGCTCAGCCTTAGGCCGTCTCAGCATAACAAGTGTATGTGTGGTTCCTGGAGAGGTGGCTCAGAGGTGAAGAGCCCTGGCTGCTCTTGCAGAGGACCTGGGTCTAGTTCTCAGCACACACATCAGTATCCCCAGTGCTGGAGTGCTTTATTCTGGCTCCACTGGCTACCAGCATCCACATAATCCCCATACATACTCAACATAAAATAAAAATAAATCTTAAAAAAAAAAAGTTGGAGAGATGGCTCAGAGTTTAAGAGCACTGGCTGCTCTTCCAGAGGTCCTGAGTTCAAGTCCCAGCAACCACATGGTGGCTCACAACCATCTATAATGAGATCTGGTGCCCTCTGCTGGCAGGTACACATACATGCAGGCAGAATACTGTAGAAATAAATCTTAAAAAAAAAAAAAAAGTTGGAGATGTAATTCAGTGGTAGAGCCCCTGCCTAGAATCCCCCAGTGAGGGGCTGGGGTGTGGCTCAGTGGTAGGGCACATGACTAGGAAATTTACCAGTGAGGAGCTGGTAACAACACTTAACTAGCAGGCTGGGTCCCTTCTCAGTATTCTAGTTAAATGAAAAACAAACAAGAGGGAGAGGTGGTAGACAAGAGCCAAGCACATGAGACTGTAAATGGAAGTATCTGGAACTCGGAGGTGGACTCCAAGATCCAAATGAGGGGGCCGGTCGGAGGTTATAGACATAGGTGTGCACGCTGGTCCAGGCCGCCTAGACCCTGTCTGAAGTGTTCTCATCACAAAGCTGATGACGGAGGGGTACGTGTGGTGGAGGAGGAGCACTGGAGGAGGCGGTGCTCTCCTTCCCAGTCGGTGGACACAGCAGTAGGCCTCGAGGCTGGGGAAAAAGGAGTGGGGGCCCATTCCCTCGGTCTGTACTCACCATAGGCAGCTTCCCGGCCCATGTCACTCTGCATGAAGGAGATGACCCCAATGCCTGATGCCAGGAGTCCATTTCGGAACCAGGAGAGGAAAGCTGAAGGGAGTTGGGGGGGGGGGGGGGGGGGGATGGGGCTCTGCGTCAGCCAGGTCCCGCCTCCCAGATCCGCTCTCACCTAGACCGAAGCCAATTTCCACTCTATCCAGTCACAAAAGTATTCTAGACGTTCATCTAGACGAATATCTTGTAAGACGTTCTTCTTACAAGAAGCACCTGTAAGCCCCACCCCGACCCTCCTCCCCCAGACGTTCTAAGCCCCTTTGGAGCAGTCTTTGCGGAAAACTGAGCATGAAGCCCCGAGCGTGAACTGAAGGCGTTCGCCCTCTCTCTTCCTCAGACCTCTGCGGCAAACTTCACCCAGCCTCCAGCCTCCTCCTCCCTCTGCGTGGTCGCCACTGCTATCTGGCACGGCCTCATCCATGGGTCCACATCTCCACCACTCAGGTTCCTGAGCTGCCAAAATGTCGTTCCCACTACCAGCCCCGTCTACACAGCACTGGCTCCCAGCTCTGAACCCACTGCCCTGTCTGAGGTTCCTCCCCCAGAAGCCTAGCTCATTCCCCCTCCAATCAGCAGACATCTTCTCTATCATTGGTTGCACGTTGGCCCAATCCGGAACTTGCCCATCTTCTGCGGGTAGCCACGCTCTTGTTTTATTCCGAGTGGTCCTGTCTGCAGTCCGAGCCGGCCCCCTGTCGCAGGCTCCTCATGGCCTCCCAGCCGCCTCTGAAAGGCGACCTCCTCCGGGCAGGGTGGCTCCGTCGGGCTACGTCTCCTACCCGCAATCCCCGAACTACTGCCTGCGGCACATTAGCCAAGACCCGCAAGCTGGCGCCCTACACCTCCTGCTGCAAAATCTAGCCCGTATTTCCCTGCGCTCCCACGAAGAACCCGCCCCGGCTGAGCCCGGGCCCCGTCCCCAGCAGATGCGTGCCTCGCCGCCCACTCCCACACCGCACCGGGAGCCCCGTCCGGCGCCGCGGCCGACCCCGGCCCCCACCACACACCTGTCTCGTGTGCCTTGCGGAGGAGCCAAGCGTCCGCACGGTCCAGCTCGGACACCGGGGGCGGCGAGGCTCCCGCGCGCGGGCCGTGGCCGGGGGCGAAGGACGCGCGCGCGCCCCCGCTGCGGGGCCGCTGAGCGGGGAGCAGCGACCCCCGGAAGCGCAGGCGGGCCAGGCGCGCGACCCGAGCCCACCACCAGCCGCCTCCCATGGCTCGCAATGGGGCCGCGACGCGCGCTCCACCCCACGGGCCGTTTGTAGGTTGCAAGCCACGTCACTCAGAAGAAGCTTCTCGCCGATTGGTGAACTGCCTGCCACTCAATCCCGACGCGCAATAGCTATTGGTCTAGCTGATGGTGTCTCCACCTCAGTCATCTGTGCCGGTAGTGTGTGGCCCGCCTTATTTTACAGTCAGACTACGAATCCCAGGGATCAATGCGCTTCGGGCAGGTCGGACTGCAGAAGGCTGCGGCGCGATGCTTGTTGGGACTTGTATTTTTGAAAAAGTAACTGCTCTTAATAGCCAGGAAACAAAATTTATACTAGTTGCTTAAGGTAGAAACTTTGCAAAACTAACCAGTAATCTCACTAAAGAAGACACACGACTATTTTTCTGTATTCTTCAGTTATTCTTCTATGTACATGTTAATAAAGATGCTGTTTCTGAAAATTCATTTCTGTCCTTATATATATTTTTAAACTCTTTAAACCCAAGTACTGGGAGTCAAACAGGGACACTTCCTTTTCTCACCTTCTTACTTTATCCTTCCCTTTCTCTCTTTCTCTCTCCTTCCCTCCCTGACTCCCTCTTTCATTACTTTTTGTTTTTCCTTTTTTGCTTTGGAGACAGGGTTTCTCTGTGTAGCCTTGGCTGACCTGGACTCGCTAAGTAGAACAAGCTGGCCTCAAACTCACAGAGATCTGCCAGCGGCTGCGACCCCCGTCCACCTCCCGGCTGGGATTACAGGCCTGCGCCGCCACACCTGGCTTGATTTTCAAGACAGGTTTTCTCTGTGTAGCCTTAGCTGTCCTGCAACTTGCTCAAACTCAGGGATTTGCCTACGTCTGCCTCTTGCTTGAGTGCTGGCATTAAAGGCCTTTGCCACCACGCCTGGCCCTTTCTCACTTTTTATCTTGCCCAAACTACCCTCAATTTACAATCCTTCTGCTTCAGCATTCTGTAATCCCAATAGCTTCGATTGTGGGTATGATGGGGCAGACTGAATTGCGTATTAAAGGTGAAATACTAACTGCTTTTCAAAAGCAGATGATAATATTTAAGACACATTTTAAAATAACGAATCTGTGTGTGGATATGTTGCAGGATATTAGATCACATTGTGAAGCCTGAGACTGTGAGACGGAAAAACCTGTTTCTTGTTGTCCTGTAGGTCAGCCCTAACACACACCTTTACTCCAAGAACTTTCTGTTTATTGTAAACACATGGTTGGGTTTGGCTTAGCCTTAGTGCACACATCTTTAATACAAGAGATTTCTGTTTATTATAACAGGTGATTACGGTGTGGTTCACCTAGCCCTAGCCCTTTAATCCAAGAGTTTTCCATAAACAGGATTAAATAAAGTTAACCCTAGGTCAAGAGTCAGAGCAAGTAATCAGTTGACAGGAAGTGAACATGAGAGAAAAAAAGACTGTGAGAGAGTGTGAGGATGGATACAGAGGCACACTGAAAATAGAAAGGAGGAACTTTCAGTTTGAAGGGTTTTTAAAGACAGCCTGGAGAAGGAGGAAGGGTTCTTTTTGCTTCTGGGCTATCTGCTGAGTAGGAAGGTTAGCTGGATGCTTTCTCTGCCTCTCTGAGCTAACAAGCTTTCACCCCAGCACCTGGCCCCTGAGTCCCTCACTGGTAAAATTGAATGATTGAGACTTTGTTTTTAAAACAGAATATAAGTGCAGATGCGCACAAAGACCTGAAGAGGTCACCAGATCCACTGGAGCTGAAGTTCCAGGCAGTTGTGAGCCGATTACAGAAGACTTTATCTCTGGCAATGAAACACAAAACACGGAGCCATTTGTAGTGCCATTCCTGACATTTTTAAGGTCACAAAGGGACACAGGCAGTGTATAGCCTATGTATTCCAGATAAGTTTTATTTTGTTTTTAATTTTTAAAATATTTATATTTATATATTTTAAGCATTTGGACCACAAATGCCCTAAGTTGATAGAATCCTTATTTTATTTTACTTTTTAAAGATTTATTTATTTTATGTATACGAACAGTGTTTTCATGCACACCTGAAGAGGGCATTAGATTCCATTATAGATGGTTGTGAGC